ATCTGGCCTTATATTCATGAAATGTTAATTTCTGGGTGGTGGGATTTTGAGATTGTTTTTAAATTTCTGCAATTTCTATTTCTCTGTTTAACAACCGAGTTTCACTTTTACAAATGACAGTGTGTCATTGAGGTTTAAAATAAAAATGAAGTGAAAGGCTAAGGTGGTTAATTGAGAAGTGAAAAAATGAGAGATTTTATCGCCCTACCTCTAGATTCATAGCCCTCTAAATCCATAGCAATGGGGTGATTCCTCTACAAGCTAAAAGAAGCAAAGCATGTTAGTCTTATCATCAAGATTTACAACAAATTGCTGCCACTCTGAGTCAAATGTAATCTCTTTAATAATTTACCCCAAATTCCCCGAATTCAGCTCCATCAGGCCTTTCCAAAACATTCACTCCTCTGAATTCATCCTTCCCTTCAACTCTCCTGAATGCTTTGTAGTAAGGCTTTTCTTGGATCAATTATCATTTTAAAATGCAGTTTTTTGTTTTGTTTGGAGAAGTAGGGGCTGAGGTGGGGCCAGACCAGTATTCTGTAAATTTCATTTCAAAACCATCTTTGGGCACCTTGCTCTTTTATGACTCTCCTTTCCTCTTCATCAACAAAGTGATAAAGCTACATGCATTCTTTTCCTACCATCTATATTAACACTGTGCCTAGAAATATTGGAGCCTGGGACATCATCATTCATACTAATTCTATATTTATTTATAATTGTATTTTTTTCTTTGCAGATGCTTTGATTTTGATTTGAAATACTTGTCTTAATTCTTATAGACTTTCAGGTCTCCATGTATGCTTGTGCCCGAGACAGGCATCATTTTAATTTTAGCCCTGCTTTATACTACTGAAGCACTTACTATACTCTATAATTCTTTGTCTATGTATCTGTCATCTCTGCCAGAATTATGAAAGGGACTAATTTAATTTATTTTGGCATATCTAAAAATCAGAGCAGCATTCAGCACTGAAAAGAAACAGTAAAAATGATAAAAACCCAGAAAAGAGAAATAACTGTTATTATTTAGTCTTTAAAGTGTAAAATCTTCTATAGGGAAGGAAATATATAATCTAAATGGGGAGATTTTCTTCATTTTTATTTATTTATTTATTTGTTTTTGTACTGGAGATTGAATTTGGGACCTTGAGCTTGTGAGGTGGCACCACTGAGCGCTAAATTCCTAGCCAAGATTTTCTTTTTAATCTCACCTTCCCTTTTTTTTTTCAGTAAGGAGACCTATCTTTGAATTAAGTAATAGTTTACAGTTGTTAAGCAGAAATAATTTTTTCCATAATCATGTATTTATGGCTCAAAATACTGAGTATATTTATTGTAATGATATTCTTGTATTTACTGTGAAAATGACAAAATATTAAGATTGAAGAAATATTATTTAATCCATCTTCTCCCCATTTTACATAATAAATTAGTCTTAGGTTAAGTGATTTGTCTAAAACAGCAATACAACCAAAATCTAAAATCAAGCAATCCAGCCAGGCACAGTGGCACACATCTTGTAATCCCAGAACTATGAGAGGCTAAATAAAGCAAGAGTATTGCATGTTCTCACTCCGCCTTAGCAATTGCAGCAAGACTATCTTAAAATAAAATAAAAACAGAAGTAAGGGCTGTGGGCATAACTCAGTGTGAAAGCCATGGGTTCAATCCCTAGTGTTAGAAAATAAATAAATAAATTAAATCAAGTGACATTTTCCCAGTGCTATCCCACTGAAGATTATTCATAAATCTCAAAGAGGAATCACTGGGAAAGAGGGAAGTAGAAAGTAGACTTTTTTATTTTTATTTGATTTGTTTATTTTGCTTTCCTTAGGCTAAGTAGAATTGACCACTTTATGAATGAAATAAACTGCAACTTTTTAATGTATTACTTGAAACAAGGCCATTGCCATGGTGAGGTGGTTGAAAAATGACTTTTCAAAAGTTTTTCCAGCCTTGTGCTTTGATCTCTGTCATTAAATTCTTTGGTGACTCATTTCATCTACAAAGAGGGTGACTACTGCCTGCCTACTTTAATTCAAGATTTATGAGGCTCAATTTAAGTGTATGTTATTCAAAGCATTAATGTATATGCACAAATCCAGGTAATTTTTAACTCTAGATCAGTCGTGTAACTATATTTTTATACTTGTCATGCCTGGAGGAAATTGGAAGCTATTATTTCTCAGTTAGTGGCCAACTTTGCATTGAAAATTGGAATACAAGTACTATACTACAGATAAAACAATTTTGAATTTCATCTTTAAAAGATAGTAACATTCAAAGGTAACATTCACAGGCAGAGTGCTACTCCTCTTCACAAATTACCAGGAGTTGGTGATCACTTATTTACTCTGGGACATTTTCTAATGGTGAAAATTAATTGGCTCTTCACACAAGTACTTTACTGGAAAGATTGTAATGATGACTGAAAAAAAAAAAAAAAAAAAAACCAAAACAGACATTGAGCAAATTTGATATAATTCAGTTAGAGAAAAAAAAATCATATGTTAACCTTGCGGCAAGTGAAATAATTCTCTTTTTTAAATAGTGACTGGATTCTCTGGTCAATTTATTCTTCAAATGAATAACTAAGAATCCTCAGTTAATTCTGTTATTTCTCTTTGTTTGCCCACATGAATTATTTTTAAATCTTTAAATACAAGAATAAAAAAAAAATCCTGAGTTCATCTGGACTTTGGGTCTATGAATTTTAAATTGTTTATTTTTATCCCTTTAAAACCTATAAAATTTATAGAATTTTAAAAAAGAAAGCTAATAAAATATTTAAGAGTAGAAGGGCTGGGGATTTAGCTCAGCTGTTCGGTGGCCTGCCTTGCAAGTGCAAGGACCCCAGTTCAATCGCCAGTACTAGAAAAAAAAAAATAAAAGAATAGATATGCAAAGACAAGAATTCCTCACCAAAGAAATACAGTGATTTTAATGGACTAGTGAATAACAGCTTCTAACCACAATTTCAAGCATTCCCCTCAAGGCCAGAAATCCATTCACAGTCATGAAATGATTTATTTCCTTTTTTCATACAAGTACTCTTTATTAAATATATACATATACAAAAAATTCATTGGGCTTCATTTTACTGAAATCAATTTGTAAATGAGTGGTTTGGACCACATTGTTTCTACAGCATCTTTCAGACTTGAAATGTGTTGATTCTATGTAAGAACTAAAGAGACAGATAAGGAATTCTTAGATATAACTTACAATTGATATTTGGCATTTGTACATTTTACATGTCTTATATACAACCAATACAAGGCAATGCAGTAAGTGAAAAGTTGATGTTAATTTATTAATATAACTTCTAAAAAATAAGAGGTTCTGTCTGCAAAGTGGCCATTTCTACCAGAACATTCCCCAAAACACCCAGAACATACTATTCACACACACACATACACACAAGCCCACGCACACACACACACATACACACACACACTCCTAGAGTATGAAGAAAGAAGTATATGGAGAAGATCAGAGGCAACACAACAGGAAATGGACCTGGACTGAGCTGCGTAAGATAGCTGCAAAAAATTCAATGATGTAGTGAAGCCCACTACATAATGAAAAATAAAAGCCAGCATGTGAAAATCCGGATAACTGGCATACAGAGTCAGTCCGATTCTGAGGCAATGACATTTTTCTTCATTTTTTTCTTTCCTTCTTTAATTTTAACATACTCCCCTTAGTTATGAAGCCCTGCTGCAATTCGCAGAAAACGAACAAAAACCTATCAAAAAATACAAAATTGTGAACACAAAAAATTATAGGATGGCTAGCATTTCACCAGCTATTGTAAGACCTATGTTGGGAAAAACATCTAAAAGGTCCGTGTAGAGTTCTTATTTCTGGATTATTCTATGATTCTGGTCAAATTCTTTTACATGATCCATACTGCATTGGAGACAGGTAATCTATTAGGTCCTAGATTAGGTAATCTAGTAGGTCCAGATTTTTCTTTTCAAGTACACAGTGCTTTTCACTTATAAAATAATCTGTACCACATTTTCATATTTTGAAAACCAATTTCTGAAATTCTACTAACATTCACTAACCTCAATGTGGCTATGTGAACAAATATAATTGTTATCCTCTATCAATATAGGAGAAACAAATATTTTGGATACATTGTCAGACTAAATTTCCTTCATTAAAGAATGCAATGTCCTCTGCTAAATTATGGTTCTTTAGCATGCATTGGCTGTTGTACTATTTAAGTAATACTGTAGGTAAATGTGAAAGAACTTTCCTAAGAGACAGTGTCTATCGCAGTGCCTGGAAAATAGTAGGCTTTAGGCTCTGCATAAATAGCAGATGGCTGGATACAGTACGTAACTGAAGGAGCTACTATGACAAAGAATTCGTACAGTGATTTAAACTTTGGCTCGGAGCACAGAATTTCAAGTTAACTGTTAAGTCTTCTCGGGCCAATATATGAAAGGAAACACTTTCCCTGGTCTGGTCTGTATCTTTGTTTGGGATGCAGCGAAAGTTCCACTATTTTAATCGGGGTCAGGTTTGTTCCATTTTCCTTTCATGGATGTTTTAACAGGAAAATCCTTTTCTTGTGGGCATGCAGACAATCACCAAAGGTCAGTGCATATGACATCCAGTAAACAATTCGGGTTAAGGGCACACTGGGAATTTATGGTAACTGGCTGATATTCATAGGGAATTAAAAATGCCATAGCCTGTTTTCAAATTTCAATGCAAAAATATGCACCACATATCTCTAATAGCCCTAGTTCTTTTGTTCCAGCATAGTATGTATTCCATCTCATTTGAACACTAAATAGATCCTTTTTGAATCATCATTCTGGAAAGAACGATGGTTCACTTTCTCTTCACTGAGGAACTAATTAACTCTCCCAATAATTAGCTTGCATTTTTTAAATGGAAAAATTACGTAGAATTTTTATTTTAGTAAAGAATAATCATCTTTAAAAACATTTAAAAAGACAATCTGCATTTTCATCAGCTTTTAGGAAACTACTATAGCAACAAAATTACATTAGACTTTCTGATTTCTCCATAGTGTCCTTCGATAAATAAACAACCCAATAGACCATGTTAAATGCTCCAAATGTGACTGGAAAGAGAATACGGGCATATTTGTCTATTTTACTTGTGCCAGACCCAGAAGGTGGTGGAGCAGGGGGAGGAGTCATAGTTGACAACTTCCCAGAAGCCCCTGTGGTATTAATAGTGGTCTTAATCCGCTCCAGTCTTGCTCCAAATACATGACGAGTAGAAGCAGATCTAACTGAAGCTTGTCGTGACACATACCCAGCTCGGCTAGGAGTAGAAGAAGGAGCAGAATGAAGTCCTCTTGCAGCGGATATTGTCTCAGCTGCATTAGCTCGGCTGAAAGGGTTTGGACTGCAAGCTAAGTATGACTTCGGTGTGGCTTCAGAAGATTCTTCAATACTAGTGGTAGATTTACTCAAATGGTTTTCCACTTCAGTTTTATTGCCAACATCAGATTCTGAGTGAACCAAAGCATTTGTTCGTTTCCTCATGTTCAAATTGGCACTTGGATTCTGAAAAAACATGTTAAAAATTATACTGATTATGTGACTTTACATAGATTTGTGCAAAATTTAAAAGGGATGAAGATACATATGATTATTCATGTTTATAAAATAAATTTTAGTAATCTGCCACAGCCACTCTGCTTGATGCAAAGGCTTACCAGTATCTAACAAAACAGAAGCTACACACTTGAATCTATGAGCCCCCAAAATTTCTATTTTGACATATGATCCATTTTAATAATAGAATGTAAATGTACAAAGATGATATTTTTAGTACTATAAGTTAGTCTTATACTTGATATTAAGCATATGAGATCAAAGCTCTATGAGCTCTTTGTTCAAAATTTAATAAAACTATTCTCCAATGTATCATACACATTTCAAAGAGGTTTTTAAGTACATTGTTGTATAAATATTGTGAAATATATCTTTTCATTTGCACAAAATAACAATTGTTACTTACATATACATGACATTCCTTTAAAAAAACCAAAACATTTAACCTCCAAATTCCTGGAATTCATTTTTGTAAAAGAATCTTAGATAGGTGATAGTATACATTAATGAAAAAGTTAAACACCCTGACATATTTGCACAATCAATAATGAAAATACAAAGGAATATTAATTTTAAATGAAAAGTTATGTTTCACATATAAATAATATCACCAAATAGTTGCATGAATGAGTTGAAACCATTAACCAATAAGAAACAATTAAATAAAAATGTAGTTCAGTATTTTTGATTGATTTATAAGACTTTATATGCCATTAAATTAATTCCTCTTCTGATTGTGATGTATACAATAAATAACTAAATAGTCCATTACTGATTGTCCATGTATGTTATAAAGTAAAGCAACTGCTTAGCTTCAAAATAGTCTTCAAAATAGTCACATGTGACTTTAAAAAATACTATGATTATTTAGCAGTAAATTATCCTTTCATGATGTTTATCTATGATATAGTAAGGTTGTATAATATATTTTCCCCTGCCATTGCATGAAATGAGTTATGGATGAAAAGATGGAGAAGTAGAGGGGAGAAAGGAGAGCTGCTCATAAGTGACTGGGAGGAGCAGGGCTGGGAGGACAATTCACAGATCAAACATGAAGTAGCTAAATTGTATATAATTTTTTGGGAGCTCACATTAGACAGAAAGGCTTATTCTAAAAATTTCTTGCTCAGCACCACACTCAAGTGTTTTTAAGTGTTCGATCCATACGTCATGTACCTATAAATTATGACTTCAAGGTGGGTGACTAGAAGGGGGAAAAAAGACAGGTTCTCAAAGCACAGAGCCAAAAGCAGACTCTGAGAGATTTAGAAAGCATTCTTCATGTCAGCTTGGAGTGTTCTTCTAAGCAGGTTACAGCTAAACTCATGAGAAATTGTACCCTAACATATGGTACCTAATTTTATTGAAGACAATGGAAAACAAAATTGACATCGACCTAAAAGCTAGAGGTATCATTATTTATCCAGCACATTTCTTCCACAAAGCACAATATAAATGGCATCTAATTAATCCTTAGCTTTTGAATAGCATTTTTACAGAAAGGCATAATAATTATTGGTTATTCTTAATTCTCAAATATTATACACATGGTAAAGATAGTAAAAAAGGATAAAGATATACTTAAAGAGTATATATTTCACTAGCAATTCAATATATACACCTAAATGTGAGACAGTAAAAAACACAGCAAAAAAGAAATATATTCAAAGGCCAAGTTGAGACAAAATGCTAAGAAGAAAAAGGAAGAGAACAAAAAAAGGAAGAATTAGACCCAAAGGAGAGAAGTGGTTATAGTTACCGAGTGTGAAGAAACACACTTAAGAGTTTCCATGAAGTGGGGCAGAAAAACGCAACCCAAAGAGACAAAAATGATACAACGTTCTGAGCGAAAGAGATAGGACTGATAATCTGGGAAGACAAAGATTTCTACAGTTCACAGGACAAAGCATCAGAGAGGAGAATGCTGAACAAAGACTAAACTCCCAAAACCTGAAGAGTCCCTGTCAATTTTTTTGCCAAACCCAGATAGTGTAGAAGTCTCTGAGGCTAAAAACAGGACCACGAGAGAAGATTAGAGGAAAGAGTACCTGGTATTTTCACAAAACCAGGAAGAATGCATGTTCCCACCAGATGTGAACATGGCAATGCTCATGCAGGGTTTCACAGAGTACTCAGAAGGTTCTTACCTCAGCAGTATGGCACAAATGACTAATCTCTGCCCTGGTGCTGCCTGTTGATGTTGAATAACAAGACTAGAAAGGGTGCAGCTGACTCCAATAACTTAACTGAACCTCAGAGAAAAGCATTAGAACATTAAAGTTCTTCATTCCCTCTATAGACCAGAATTCTCCTGGAACTTCTGGAAACCTCTGTGAGTCATGTTCATTAGGACAGAGTGGTTACAAAATTGGCACCAGCTTATCATGCCTCCTTATTCATGCCTTCTGTGATACATCCACTTCTCCCCCACCAGGTGATGGAGTTGATTTCTCTACAAGCTATCTTCTGACTTTCTTTGGCCCACAGTGTGTAGTAGAAATCTCAATTGTTCTTGTTTGTTTCCACTGCCTCCTGAAACACCACTGCCATCACCATAAAGAGCAGAGCAGGCTAAGCTACTATGGAAAGAAAGATCATTCTGAGCACAACCTGTGATTCCTGTGAGGCCATCCCAGAAAGAGTTGAGTCTGTCCTAGCTAAGACAAGATGAATTACCTGGGCAAGCTTAATTAAGATCAAGAGGACTGATTTGATGTATAGACCTGAGAGAAAAATGTATTACTGTGGTTTGTTGTGCAGCATTATTGTGGCACAGATAACATATACTGTATATATAGATCAAAGGTCCATACAGGGTGTTTCCAAACCTGTCTAACGAGGGGTAATTCTTCAGACTTTATAAGAGAAGGTTGGCTTGCCCAGTCCTCATGGAAGATCTTTAGGGGGCGCTGTTGCCTAATTCACACACTAGTTAAAGGACCAAATTATTTTTCTTTCCATAATTCCAGTATTTAAGAATTACAATATTTTAAAACTAGAAGGAATTTTAATAACCACTTTATTTCAGTTCCTTATTTTGCAGAAGAAAATAGGGACCATAAGTTATGATTAACTAGAAGTCATACAAAGAATTACGGTATAAGTTATGATTAACTGAAAGTCATATAGTGAATGATGGTATACTATACTGTGTCTAGTTAGCCATATTTAACAGTCTACTAAAAATATGGAAGAGTTTTAAAGAAAATATCAAACTGCACCTACGTGAGTCAGCCAAGACTTTGTAGTACTCAAAAATATTGTTATAGCTGGAACCAACACTCTGGGAAGTTGAGGCAGGAGGATCACAAGTTCAAGTCCAGCCTCATTAATTTAGTGACTCAATGAGAATTTGTCTCAAAATAATAAAAGGAGGAAGAAGCTGGGAATGTATAAAATGAAAAAGCTCTGTATTCAATCTCTAGTACCGCAAAAAATTGTAATTACTTAAGACTTGGACATCAGAAACAAATACAACATCCCCTTTCAATAGTATAATGGAACTTTCACAAGCCCTCGGAAGAACTTCAAAGTCTTTACTATAATTTATTTGGTGTACTTTTGATGTTTAAAATTTTATTAGAGCCCAAACATTATTGGTATAAAAAGATCACCAAAGTTTATGATATATTTGTCCTGAATGATATGGAGTACTTCTGCATCTAATCCAGAAATCTTGTTCCAGTATTTATTTTTACAAGTGCTTATAATGTCCTATTCCTCAAAAATATTTTGAGCCAGTTTCCCATCTAAATAAATTCCTTAATGACTCCAACAAAAGTCCACCGCATATTTGTATGAATCATGTGTTCTGTTGGTTTGAAAATTATATTCTGACCATATTTGCTGAATGTTATAAATAATGAAAGAAATATAAGATTGAAGAATGGTTTAGAATATAGAGAACACCCAAGCCAAAGACAGAAGATTAGTCTAAGGTGATTAGAAAGAAGGATCAATAAAGCAAGAGACTTCATGAGAATCGATAAAGCAGTATGAACAATATAAGTAAATTACTAACTGAAATCAAAGACCAAAACATTTTGTTCTGTTTAAAAGTGCCAAGGAGCTTTGAGAGTTTGAAAAACTGGCTAATCACTGTATCCTAAAGCACGTGATAGGTACTCATTTCACGGTGATAATTGGTATTGCAATCGATATAATACAGAACCAACACTCTACTCCATATTTCTATTTTCAAAAAAATTCTACATGGTCTCCTGATTACTATTTCTTTGCTTAGAGGGCAGATTTCTAGAATATTGCAAGTAGTGATTAAAGCATGCATATTGTCTTGATTCATGTCCAAATCTGACTAAGAATGCCAAGAATTCTCAATATTCTATATATCTTCCCCATACAAAAGAAAGTAGTAGTTGACTGGTTTGAGGCTTGAGGCTTAAATCTCTGCTCTCTGCCAAGCAACTAAATGATACTCAAATTGTACTTAGGCCTTAAGGTTTGCTATGGAAAAAGTTGTCATTTTCCCTGATGAAAGATCACAAAACTATTGAGAAATCTGTTCATCTACCTGGCATCAAACTCACTAGGAATAATATTCACACAACCTTCAAGTTTTGGAGCAACTAACGTGTCAGTCAGGGTGATGTTTTGTTTCACATAGAGTAGAAACTTCAGTGGCTGCATTAGTATTCAGCAAACACGTAGTGGTTCCAAACAGGAAAAGCACCTAAGCTTCATTTGAATTTTAAAAAATGATTTAGTGTGAAATCATTTTGTCATTAGTCACAATAGCCTGAAGCAAAGAAACTGGTGGGATAGAGACACAAGGTGGCAGATTCAAACATTACCAACAAACTAAAGCAGCAACAGGAAAACAGGAACAGATCCAAGCAACTTGTCAATCATGGCTGTGATCTGACACAATTTCTAAAGAAGTATTATTAACTGCAGAAAAATATTCATCTCGACTTATTACTCTAGCAGAA